CGCCCAGCAATGGCTCTGCCAGGCTCAGGGGGGCCAGCGGGGACCTGGAAACGCCTGGGGCTGCTGTCTTGTTTTTCTCATTATGAGACATTTTTTTCTCTGGTTTGGCCAGGACCAAAGCCCCAACCAATTCCCAAACAGTTTGGCAAGCGCTGTGGGGAGGACACAGAGGTGGAGTGCAAAGGGAAAATTCATTAGGTTTTCCACCCTGGGAACCAGGCACAGTCTGTTCCCACATCTGGGCCCCTGGCCCCATGTGTGTGTGTGTGTGTGTATGTGTGTGTGTAGTGTGTGTGTGTAGTGTGTGTAGAGGGGCTGGGTCAGTTGCACAGCTGCCTCCTGGCATGGCAACGTTTGCCCGTTTCCAAAGCAGTCAGCAGGCACATCCATGACTCCTGCCCAGAGGGCAGGAACAGTGGTATAGCTGGGAATGGGGTGAGAGGGAGGGTGGGTCTCAGCCCCAGAAATGTTTCCTAGGACTGGAGAGGTCCAGGGCCTCTCTGATGTGTTGGGTCATACTGGGCTGCCTGGATACCAGCCATAGATGGCAGCCCCTGCTGTCACTCAGGGGAAATATCTACAGAGTGTCTGGCAATTATACAGGAGAAGCAGAGGAAGATCCAAAGGGAGGCAACTCTGGTGCGCCCTGTAAGGCAGACTATTCTGGAGAGGAGTGGGAGAACAGTCCCCGGGCTCCATCTGGGATTAGGGTTGTTCCTGCCACGGCACACAGGGCAGAGCCTCAGGTCTTGTTAGCAACAGCTGCTGGAGCTCCAGTTCTCTACCTGTGGCCCCTACCCCCGTCCTACCCTTTCTGACTCTTCTTCTGGGCCACCCACCAGCTTGACTGATCATGGGTAAAGCGCAGAGTGGTGAAGAACAGGGGCTCTGTAAACAGGCTGCCTGGGTTCACATCCCAGCTCTACCACTTGCTAGTGTTGTAACCTCAGGCAAGTCATTTAACCTCTCTGTACTTTAGTTTCTTCACCCGTACAGTGGGGATGATAATACCTACTCAATGGATTGTGAAGAGTATGAGTTATTATTGGAAAAGTTCTTGGACCAGTGATATCATTATCTCTGAGGCAAAGGTGTTGGAGTAGGTCCTTCTGGCTCTGGCAGTTTGCCAGCAGTTCAGGGGTGGCCCAGGAGCTGGGAAGCTGTTATAGGAATGTACTGGGACATAACCAGGGACTTGGTCCTTTGGCTTTGTCCCCTGCCTACCAAGAGGTCTCTGCTCGTAGGAGAGGAAGGCTAGTAACCTCCAGGCCAAGGGTCTGGAGTTCCAAGGGGCTGCTACAAAATGACTTTTTTCCCCCTCCCCTCACTTTCAGGGTTGCTGAGAAGGAGCCCATCAACAAAATGTCCCTTCACAACCTGGCTACTGTGTTTGGCCCCACGTTACTGAGACCCTCAGAAGTGGAAAGCAAAGCACACCTCACGTCAGCTGCCGACATCTGGTCCCATGATGTCATGGCACAGGTACCACCACATTGCCCAGGCCTGTGGCTGGTAGAGGGGTGAGACAAGCTCCCCTTAGGGGCAGAGAGAGAATGGCTCAAAGTCCCATAACCCTTTTGTCCTGAGCAGCTGGGTTGATGGTCTGTAGGCTGTCACCAGAGAGGCAGGGCTCTGGACAGTCCTGCCCCTCCCAGACCAAAACAAAGTATGATCCCAGACCAGAGGCCCAGAGAATGTCTGTCCCAGGTGCTGGCTGTAATCCTGGGAGTGCCTTGGTCTCAGAAAGGAAGCCCAGGGGTATAGGAAAATTCTGGGGGCCTTGTCCTCATGCATGGAAGCTCTAGAATTGTTTCCAGGTCAGGAAGCTTCCTTGGGATCCCTACAAGACCCAGGACAGGGTTCAGTCTGAGGCAGGGCTGCCAAGCCAAAGCCAACCTCTGGAACAGGTTGGCAACTTTTGACTGAAGTTGGGAAGTGGCCCCAGGCTCCCCACCCTCATCCCTGCAGTGCCCTCTACTGCTGAAAATGGGCAGACACATCTGGGCTGTCAAGGAAGTCGGGAAGTGGGGAGGGAAGCAACACAGACATGACCCCAGCCCAGGGACCATTTCTTCACAGCAGATCAGAGGAAGGCCACAAGGACGAGGACTCTGCCTCATTCTCCCCTGTCTCCCCACAGGTCCAGGTCCTCCTCTACTACCTGCAGCACCCCCCCATTTCCTTCGCAGAACTGAAGCGGAACACACTGTACTTCTCCACTGACGTGTAGCCCCAGGTGGGAGCAGCTGTGAGGGGTGGCCCAAGCCAGCCTCTTCAGCCGGGAGACCCGACACAGACTTGAAAGACTACAATAGGAAACTCCCAAACCCAGCACTCCAGACTCCAAGGGACGCAGAATTCCAAGAACTGGAATATGTGCATCTTTTGTGCCACCTTGTACAAAGCCAGCTGACCCAGCCCCCAGCCTCACCGCCACACCCCGGGCTCCTGCCCTCTGTACCTCTAGTTGTGTCTAATGCCCCACGTTGTTCGGGAATTGTTTTATGTCTGTTTGTCATGCAGAAAAGGTAGTGACCGACCTGATATGGACACACAGACGGCCTGCTTTGTTCTTTCATTTCTTCCAACACTTTCTTTCCTCCTGAGTCCAGTCCAAGGGCTTTTATTTGGCGCTCTGTAACTGCTGCCAGCTTATCCTCTCTTGGCCCTGCTCCCAGATTGCAGTCTCTCGGCAGCCTCCCCTCCCTCCCAGCCTGCCCGCATGCATGTGCAGCCTTGGTTTTTGCTCCATCACCTTGAAAGTTCTGAGGAGGCCCTGGGTGGCGGTGGCCATGGTGGCCCATCAGATGCTGCCACGTGCTGCCCCCTCCCAGCCCTCTCCTTGCCCTCCACCTGTGGAAGCACACCTGCTTTGCCTTGCTGCTTGTGCAAATGTTACACAAGGAGACAGATTCACATTAATCCTCAGCTTAGCACAGAGCTGGAGCCAGATTTCTAGAATTTTCCACCTGAGAATCTCCATTTCTGGGGTTTAGCTGTTCTGTCTCCTGCCCACCAATAAGGCATCTTGACTGTTTCTTCTACGGCTTTTCAGTTCCTTTTCCCCTGGTGTTCTATTTCCTTTGAGTGTGAAAACTCCCAAGTGACCTGCTATCGAGATAGCCAGAGGGTCAGGAAGGAATCTGGGAAGCAGAGGAGGCAGCGGCTGAGGAAGCAAGACCATTTGAACATTCAGAGGAGCGCCATGCAGCACTAGGTGTCCTGAGTCGGGGGAAGCAGCTCTTAGCAGCAAGGAGTTGTAGTGACTTTTCTAGCTGAGCCAAGGCTTCTAGGAGGGCAACTAATATGGCTGAAGCAGGTATCCAGACACCGGCAGGCTCCATCCGGGAGGCTAGCCCTTCCTGGCGCCTCAAGTACCTCCTGGTACCTTCCTTTGCCTTAGATTTTACACACATTCTCCGCAGCCAAGCACTGCCATGGGGCAGCCCCACGGCCACATGTGCTCCAGGGCCTGGGAAAGGCAGGCACAGTCCAGCAGTAGCCAGCCGTCATGGTGCTGCCTCCCCACCCCTGCCTTCTAGATGCAGCCTTTCAGATGAACTCTAGGAAACTCCAGAATTTGAGAGAAAGATGGGGAGTCACAGGCACCTGCCTCTCCTGAGATGGGGTTTTACTGAGGGCCCTCATTGTTGACATTCTGCTCCAGAGTCGGGGATCAGCAGGTCCCATTTCCAACTTTGAGACCCATTGCTCGGTACTGGAAAGGAGTGAAAAATATCCTCAACTACTCGTTTCTTCCCATGTGAGCAGCAGCTGCCAGCCTATGATGGTTAGCCTGGAACGGCAGACACTCCCAGGCTGCAGGGGCTTGAGCTGTAGTACAAGCTCCCTGGTTCTTGTGATTCTACACCCTCAGGATTGGAAAGAATGGCTTCCATAGCTTGAGCTCAGGGCTAAGTTTTGAAGAAGGGTTTGCTAGCCCTAAAGCTGTAGCACTTCCTCAGTGAGAGGCAAGGCCCCTTTTGATCTTGTTTACACCTGTTGCCCAATCTTGGGCAGAACGGTACACATTCTGTGCACATCGGAGGAAAGAGATGCCCAAACGGAGGGAAATGCCACCTCACTGCCAATTAGCAGCTTAGCTAAGAGCCCTTTCTCCCTGGGACAGGAGGTGGACAAAGAACTTGAGTGTAAAGATCCCAGCACCTGACCGGCCCTGGAGTCTCAGCACTCGGGAGTTGGTATGTGGCGTGGAAGGCTCTCGCTTTCAAAGCCATTGACGGTAATGATTTAGAAGCATAGTTAGAGGTAGTTATGGCCCAAAACGAGCGCCTCCCATCTCCCTAAAACAAGGGGTGTTTGCTTTTCAGCATCAGGTAGCTACTGCAGCCCTCAAGCTTGCTTAGGCAGTATGAGAATGGGAGGAAGGCTAGAAGGGCTGAGAAATGCAAAAAGCTCAGAATATTTATAAATTCCACCCCCAGAGTGGGGAGGGGTGGCTACCAGACCTGGACTAAGTTGTACCAAGGAAATAGCCCGTGGGTTCCCCTGAGAGACAGGGACTGTGCAGCCCAGAGCCCCCAGCCAATGTGCCCAGCAGACAGGCTATAGGGATCCTAGGCCTGTCCTTGCTGGCAATGGCTCTGAGCTGCTGGTTTTTGTTGATACAGGTAGGATGGGACCCTTCATTAATATTTGACTTTATTAAGTTGGTAAGGATATATTTTTTTTTGTCTATGTTCTGTTTCAACTTATGTAGATTATTATAAATTGATGTAAACCATGTGAGAGGAAAATGTTAATAAACTCAAAGCCCCAACATTTGCACACAACTCAGCCCTGTGGTATGGACATTTGTGTTCTCAGTAGTCCAGGGAAGATCACCAATCTAAATATTTAACTCTTCCAGCTGCATCCAGATGTGAGTTTCTAGGAATCTATTTATCTAGTTAATTTATCCTGAGCTTCCTCACAGCCTATGTAGACTGTCACAGTTTGGGGGGAGGTGAGCCCAAGCCCTCTCCTTGCTCTTCACAAAGACCTCCAGGTCAGCCACCAGCCATTTATACTTTCATGAAGTATAAATGCCCCGCCAGCGACCTGGCTGTCAATATGCCTCAGAGAGATGGCAGGAAGTTGTCCATTCAAGTGGAGGCTTATGTTATATAAACTTTTCTCTACATTTTCCTTGGAAGTGGCTCATCTTTGGGGCAGCTTCTTGGCTTAATCTGCTTGCAGAGGCTGGATCCCCTAGAGGGCCCCGTTTCCCTCTAGCAGAGCCCGTGGGGTTAAACGTAGGCTCCCAGCAGCCCAAGCCATTGGATACTGTGTTTATTCTGGAGATCAGGAACAGATGTCTCTGAAAATTGGTGTTTGGTTTATGAGCTCATACTGACTCCTTAGCCATCTAAAACAGGAAACTATTCATCTCCCTTGATTGAATAGTCGATGTGGACAAAGCTTCACTTATTGAACTGATGGCTACTGACAGCCGCAGGGCTCATCTTTTCCAAGGCAGTCATGAGGGCAGCATGGCTTGTATTCAGTAGTTCAGTATATCTGACTCCACACACTAGACTGGCTGGTAGAAGATGCCGGGCATCCCAGCACTTTGACAGGTGCCCGGTAGGAGTGTCTGCTCTTGCTCTCAAAGAGCTTATAGGTGACTGACTTATTTAGGGACAGTGTAGGAAACACTTCTAAATTTGTTCTCAGACCTCTGAGGACACTCCAGCCAGCCTAGCAACGATGCCTCATGCCTGTGAGACTGGGACAGGCATTATATAGAATTCACCATAGAAGGACATGAGTCCTGTGCACTGGCTCACATTCATTCCAAAGGAAATAGCACACATGGCCAGAGGAAGGTGTTACCAGCTGAGTCTGACACACACACACACTCGGGATGCCTGGACAGATCAGCTGAGTCTTTAAATTCTGGTTAAGGGTGGGTGGGCTAGAACATAGCAGACAAGGGGAAGAAAGTGAAAAAAGAAAAGGTAAAGGGATGTACAGTAGGAAAAAGAGACATGACCACTGGCTAACGCAGCTAGAATTACATGGCCCCCACCAAGCCTACCTGCCTGTCCCTAAGAGCAAAAGCCTGAGTTCATCAACTTCATTTTGCCATCTAAGCACCAGAGTAAAGCAGCACCCGGGGCAAATCCCCATCATAAAGGCTTTTTTTTTTGGCCTATGACATAATTAGGCTGAACTTCTGTTAAAAAAGGCCACTGGGTCAAGTCAAAAACACTCATGTGTTCCAAACAAAACACCAGAAAACAAGGGTAGTGGTGAACAGCCCCTCAACAATGTCTGATAGAACGCAGTAGCTGCTGTGATTTAGTCATCAGGATGGTCATAGCAGGACCCTTGAGCCAGGCCCGGTCCAGTGGTCAGGGCATAAAACTAATATGTGGTTCA